ACAATCTTTATTCTTGGATTGGCAAGCGAGTTGTCTCTCCCTATTTATCTTCTCTCCCTACAGTCCAAGGACCTGGATGATGCATCACTTCTTGGGCTTATAAATTCTGTGCCACCAAAAAGTCTGCTTGTCATTGAGGATCTAGAAAATGCCATCAAGGCACATTCTGTTCATTCCTCGTTGCGGAATGAATTTCCCAGGGAGATTGGTGAGGGACGCGATTCTGGTGTGTCGCTGAGCGCGCTACTAAACGCCATTGATGGCATCGCAAGTAGTGAGGGAAGGCTGCTTATTATAACAGCCAATGACGCCTCGCGTCTGCCATCGCCAGATGCGCTCCTGAGACCTGGTCGTGTTGATCGACGCGTTTCTTTTGGTCCCCTCGATCCTGAAAGCATGAAGGAGATGGTGAAGTCGTTTCAGTCAAGGTCAGCGGAGCCCTTGTTAAAGGGAGCCTTTACACTTTGGGAAAACGGGTGCTTACCCACAGCAGCACCCACCACCCCCGCGGAGCTGCAAAACGAACTCCTCGCCTCCATCTACAGGAATGGGCTTACACATTGATTTAAGCATCGCAGTTGTCCTTGGTCTTATTGACATCGTTTTGTTTTGGCTCCTTTTCTGCGTTGTGGTCTTTCGATTGTGCAACCCATTTTTGTTTTTCCTCTCATCGGTCTGTGTGGGAGAAATGTGAGGACAGTGACTGAGGATGCGGTTGAATATTCCTCTTGGATATGTTTGTTTTTTCTCCCTGTAGAGAGGGAGAGAGAATTTTTTTTTTTCTTTTTTTTTTCTTTTTTAAATATATATAAAAGAATTGAGAAACACGAAAGGCTAGAAGTAGGGAGGGTGTTGCACACGCATGTCATACTGTGAGCAATACCTCTCGAATGGTGTTACGAACCGCAATGGAAACCTTCGCGTCGTAAATGGCAACAGTAATCCCAAGCTGGCTGAAGGCGTTTGTCAAGCCCTTCGTATCCCTGTTACGTCATGTCGTGTTGGAGCCTTTGCCAACGGTGAAATCAATGTCAAGATTCTTGAGTCTATACGTGGAGACGATGTATTTGTGGTTCAGCCTACTTGTGGCAATGCAGTTATCAACGTGAATCAGGCCGTGATGGAACTTTTGCTCATTATTCACACTCTGAAACTCAGCTCAGCAAGGCGTGTGTTTGCGGTCATTCCGCATTATGGCTACGCTCGTCAAGACCGTAAACATATTTCCCGCGTTCCCATCAGTGCATCTGCCGTGGCACGTATGATCACGGAGCTAGGCGTAAATGGTGTTGTCACGATGGATCTGCACTGTGGTCAAATTCAGGGATTTTTTCATGGTTGTCCTGTGGCTGATCTTAGTGCCACATCTGAATTTGCAGAATATGCAAAGAAGAAGGCCTTCAACATCAATAATCTTGTTATTGTTGCCCCAGATGCGGGTGCAGTAAATCGTGCACGACGCATGGGAGATCGCCTTGGTGCGAGTCGTATTGTCACTATCCTTAAGCGGCGAGTGGAGGCAAATCATGTCGACAGCATGCAGCTTGTGGGTGAAGTGGAAGGATGCGACTGCATCATTGTGGACGACATGATTGACACCGGCGGGACGTTGTGCAAAGCGGCAGAAGTGCTGAGAGAAAATGGAGCAAAGGAAGTACATGCCTGGGCCACGCACGGCATTCTCACCGACCCTGCGTGCGATCGCATCACCGCATGCGAGGCGTTGGTTGAAGTCGTTGTAACAGACAGTCTTCCGCAGGTTGAGAGTGTAAAGAAGTGTTCCAAAATTAAAATTATATCTATTGCTAAGCTCCTCGCTGAGGCAATTTACCGCATTCATTCCGAGCAGAGCATCGAAAACGTCGGTGAAATTCCCGTGCCGCAGCACCACAACGAAGACCTCATCTCGGTGGATGCATTGGTAGAGGAGGGTGACTGGCCTCAGAGTGGGAATCGATCGATTAAGAGGCGGAGTGTTGCATATCCCGGTAAGACAAGCAGCCAAGAGAATTCCCCGGGCTTTGTCGCGCACTGATACCGAGTCTTGACGTTCTCACATGGAATTTGCAGAATAGGTATAGGGAAACAAAGGGGAACGAAACGCACGAAAAAAGGAAGAAAATAAAAAAAATAAAAAAATATATATTTATATTTATGGAAGAGACACGGAGAACAATAGAGACGCGGGGTGGAGGCAAATTAAATATAAGAAAAAAAAAAGTACGAGGCCATAAGAAAAACAACTAAGAATAAGAACACAAAGGGCAAAGTGAAGTGGAAGAAATATGCCAAGAAACCAGGAATGGAAGAGGGTTCCGGCTTATTTTCTCTTCTTCTTCTCCAGCTCTTGTTTGTTTTGCATATTGCCACGGCTACTACTTCTTTGTACATACAAGGGGGGGAAAGCATGAGAACACATATTTCTCATTTCTTGTATTCTTTGTGGCTTTTCTTCTTTTGAATGCGGTGGGAGTCTTTTTTTTTTTTTTTCCCTTCTCACCGAAGAGAAGATGGGGGAATACGATAGGGAAAAAAAGAACATGAAAAAAGAAGCGATAAAAATTTAAAAAAGCGGAGGGGGCGGGTGGGTGTAGAGTGAAAGGCACTCAGAGAAAAGAAACGACGGCACAAGAGAGAGGAGGGAGGATCAGACGGACGTGTGTGTGTGTGTAGGGGGAGGGGCAGTGGGGAGTTTTGGGAAGTCTTGAGGGTACCGTGATGATTCATAATCCATTAATTCTATGTTGTTGTTTTTTCTGTGCCTTCATCTTGTTTCCTTATTATTATCATTATTATTTATTATTTTTTTCTTTTGATTCTTCTTTTTTTTTTTGCTCTCTCTCACTTTTTTTTTTTTTTTTTTGCCTTTATCACTTCACTGTCCCTCTTGCTATGCCTGGTTGTGGGTTTTTGTTTGAAATGGTTTTCAATGTGAGAGGCAGCATCCCGTTATATATTACAAGTATACGTTTATTTATATTTGGTTCCCCCAACTTTCCCTTCGGTCAGGGTTTTTGGGTGGCAACATTGGCGCTGCCGCGGTACATGTTTTTTTGTGACTCAATTGCATTTCTTTGGTGCGTCTGCGTGTGTTCCACTTGCTTTTAAAGGATTAAGAGCCGTCTTGTAAATATTTTCCACAGAAACGTCATAGGCCTTGCCTTTGCTTGTTGCCGTCGTTGACTCCACAAACACACAGAAACACACACGTTCCCTCTCTTTAAGCAAAAGATAAAATGTTACGCCCCACCCACGCCGTGCTCCGCCCGAATGTCGTGGTGGTTGGCACGGGATGGGCCGGTGCATACTTCACAAGGAATTTAAATTGCAAATTGGCAAACCTGCAGGTTCTTTCCGTACGGAACCACTGTGTGTTTACACCGCTTCTTCCCCAAACCACAACAGGGACTTTGGAATTTCGAGCGGTATGCGAGCCCATTTCACGCATTCAACCTGCTCTCGCGACATTACCCAATCGTTTCTACCGCTGCGTAGTGTATGGTGTCAACTTTGATGAGAAGGAAGTAAACTGCGTTGGTGTTGGAGTCGTTGACACCAATTTTAATGCGACTGTGCAAACGTTTAATATAAAATACGATAAGCTGATCTTGGCGCATGGCGCACGACCAAATACCTTTAACGTACCTGGTGTCATGGACAATGCCTTCTTTCTTCGCGAGGTGAATGAAGCCCGCGGTATTCGAAAGCGTCTCGTTCAAAACATCATGGTGGCAGATTTGCCTACCACAGATTTGGAAGAGGCGAAGCGCCTGCTACATGTTGTCGTCGTTGGTGGAGGTCCTACAGGTGTCGAATTTGCTGCTACTGTGGCCGATTTTTTTCGTGATGATGTACGCAAGATTAACCACAAACTTGTCGAATTCTGCAAGGTTACTGTACTTGAGGCGGGCGAGGTATTTGGCATGTTTGATCTGCGGGTTCGAAATTGGGGAAAACGCCGACTGGATGCGCTTGGCGTGCGGATCGTGAAAGGAGCCGTGGTAGCGGTCAATAACAAGGAGGTGGTCACAAAGGATGGCATTGTGATTCGTACGGGACTGGTGGTCTGGAGCACCGGTGTCGGTCCTTCCTCATTGACGAAAGACTTGGATGTGGACCGCACATCCCGTGGCCGCATCTCAATTGATGATCATTTGCGTGTCCTTCGGAAAGGGGCGCCCATTCCTGATGTATTTGCCATTGGAGACTGTGCCGCGAACGAGAAACTTCCGTTACCCACTCTGGCCGCTGTGGCATCTCGACAGGGTGCGTACCTCGCAAAGAAGGTGAATGGGGAGTTGTCAAATAAACCCATTATGGCGCCATTTGAGTACAGGAGTCTGGGCTCCATGGTGAGTCTGGGGGATAATGCGGCCATTGTAGAATTGAATGTGCCGAGTAAATTTGACTTTGTCGGTCTCAAGGCCCTGTTTTTCTGGCGCAGTGCATACCTCAGCATCTTGGGCTCGTGGAGGAATAAACTTTATGTGTTGGTGAATTGGGTGGGGAGTGCTGTCTTTGGCCGTGACACCACCTTCATTGGCGATCTCAGCGAGGATCGTGTCTGGCGCACGTTGGCGGCGGAGGAGGTTTCACGCGAATATGCCCGGAAAAAGGCCTTTGCCAAGCTAAAGATGATGGAGACAAAAACAACAATCACCGCTGAGACCCTCGAAATGGGGGCTGAGATGGGCTACATTGTCGGTCAGAGCGACAAAGCGGAGGATTCTTCGACTGCGGAAGCAAAAGACACTCCCAACACGAAGCCACAGTGAGACACGACCGCTCTTTGAAATTTCTTGGAATTCACATCCCTTTTATCTGTGTTATTTACAACGCGTGGCCCAATTTATTTATTTTTTTTTCTTTGGCGCTGTTTGCTTTGCGGTTTTTGATAATGAACCGTCCGGGCGGAGGGGCAAAAAGGGGAAATAAGACTACAAGGGACATCTCTGTTTCTCTGCCTCTGTGTGCGTGTATACATGTGGAATTGATGTTTGTACAGGCACACACGTATACACACAGGGACGGGAGGCAGCAGAAAAGGAAAAAGTAAATAAATAAACTCATTCCTCTGGTCGTTGTTCGGCCCCCGTCAAACAACGCCCCCTTCCGGTCACAATCCGTGTGACGTTCTTGCATCTGCAAATAAATTCAAACAGGCTAAAGAAGGGATGAAAAAATTACCCAAAATAAAGGCGGCAAAAAGAAAGAAATAAAAAAATAATAACAAAGGAAGAAAAAATAATTTTAATGTTGTGTGCCTTTTTCCGGTTCGTTACGTTGCCTTCAAAACCACACACGAAATCACGCAAAGCAAGAAAAGGAAAAAAAAAGAACAGCAAGGATAAAGGCAGTAATGATACATATAACGCAAAAGAAAAGAATGGATTGCTCGGTGCATTTATTTGCTAGAATCTTGTGGAATGGATGTGTGAACAGCAGTGGTCAAATAATTGATAGAGCATGTTGATGGATTCCCAATTGAGTTTTATTTTTGTTGTTGTTTTTGTCGAACCGTTGATTTATACCTCCAAAAATGCCTTCCTGGAATCTGGCAAGAC